GGGTTCGATAGTCCGAATTGAGAAAAAGGCTCGATAGCCCGAATTGAGAATAAGGTTCGATTGTCCGAATGGGCAATACGGTTCGTCAGTATGACTCTTCGGACTATCAGACCCTATACTGTTGATTCGGGCTTTCGGACCTTATTGTCGATTCAGACTATCGGACCTTACTGTTGATTCGGACTATCGGACCATCATAGAGTCTTTTCGGACTATCGAACCTTATTGTCAATTCGGATTATCGAACCTTCGGACTATTGAACCTTATTTTCAAGCCCGCTGGAACAAACTTTTGCCAGGGGGTGCTGGAATTTCTAAAGGACGAACAAAATTAATGCGAACGCGGAGCGCAAAGCCCTTACGGCGTGGCTTAAAGGGCCCCTAAAAGTTTGGGAATATGGATGCTCTGTGGTGCAATATGAGGCGATTCCTGGCCACTTTCATATGACTTTTTTAGCAAACGTTTTTTGAGATTATAAGACAATTTATTTCACTTTTTTGTTTAGAATATACTGTTGCTCTTATAACGTTTCTACTGTACTGAAAAGTCAAAAACCCTGTATGTTTATCTCCATTCTTTGTTCCATTTAATTCTGGAAAAAGAATTGTATCATTATGCATGACATCGCATGTAAATATTATTGTTGCTAGGCTGCTTTCTTACATTTAGTAAATTCCGTCGTGTATGTTTTGTTATATTTTCCGAGCCCTTACGGCGTGGGGCCACAGGGCCAGGGGCCTGCTTTAAGGCCCCTGAAAATGTTGGATTCTGGATGCACTGTAATGAAATATACTGAAGTGAAGTATATACTTAAACTTATAAAACCCGAAAGGATGTTTTTTTGTTCAAGCTAAAACAAAATGGTTCCACTGGAAGCGGGTGAATTTCTGTTCATAAAATATTCACATAGGCCTAAACGATGTAGCTCTTGATATATTTGCAGTGTTATTTGTTTGTTACAGGGAATGGCAAATATAAAAGACTAACAGACCAAATGCATCTTTATGTTTATGATCGGTAGGTGGCAAGTTTGGGACTAGGCAAGGATTTATCGGTCTACTGAGTTTTTATGAGAAAAAACTTGCAGAGGGTAACACATGAATAGCGTTTTTGTTAAAACGAAACTACACTGGAACTAGTTTCAATGGAAGCCCGTCCCACTCCTATTAGGTTGGGATGTGTGTGTGAACCTTGCTATTTGTTAATGTTGAGTACAGAATGCTAGCAACGTCAATGAAACTTTTAAATGAAAAGAAAAACCTTCAGGGGAAAGGTATGCACTTTGACCCTATTGAAAGATCGAATGAAAAAAATCGTGGCAAGCATAATCAACTTTGCCACCATTGTCATGGCCGAGGTTATTTTTTTCGGGTCAAAGCTTCCATCATGGCCGAAATATCACAGACATGTCATGATTTTAGATTCATTGAGAGAAATATCGATTCTGCACTGCCTGAAGATTTAGAAAATACCTCCTCCTGATATTTTACAGTGTTACTTTGTGCTAGACATTCGAAGCGCCGCGCTTAGCCGCGGCAAAACTAGAAACGAACAAAACGAAGGAGATATTTGTAGAGCAAGCATAATGTATAGCGCAGCGGCGCAATTTCAACGTCGTAGAACACTGCTGGCTGGAACACATTTTTGCCCGGGAGTAGTGGCAAAAGTTGGGGGTGCTGCAGCACCCACAGCACCCCCTGTTCCCGCGGGCTTGTTATTTTCGTTTCGGACTATTGAACCTTCGGACTGATTAACCTTATTCTCAATTCGAACCATCGAACCTTCGGATAAATAAACCTTCAGACTAATGAACCTTCGGATTAATGAACCTTCGGACTATTGCATCAAATGTTCGGATTAACGAACCTTATTTCATTTTCGGACTAACAAACCCCCTCTTATGGAAATTATGTGCATTTGAACTATCGAACCTTCGGACTAAAGAACCTTCGGACTATTGGACCTTTGGACTATCGGGCGGCCCCCGTTTGTAATACATTGTTAAAGGACGTACCATCACCATTTCCGGCCACTCTGTTAATCTATTGCAGGTTACCACGTTCCTTTCTGTCTGGCTCCTAACCCATACCTCATTACTCGTAATAAACAACACATATAAGAATGTTACGTCTTCCAGCTATAGTAAATGGTACAAACAAATGGATGTGGTAAAGACCAAATTCAAGGAGCCGCACAATTTCACATAATTATTTTCTGCGTGACAAATACCGTCATTGTAGCACTTTTGTCCATAATCAAAAATGCTTAGATTTTTCAAGAAAATTTGAAAATAGTGACGTCACTGCAACAGCAAATCAGCTTATTGTTACATAAATGTCACTGATTATATCACTCTTCAATTCCCTGACCCTCAAAATGTCAAATTAATTACTTGGAATCTCATCACAACGCTTCACGACCTTATTTTCTACAATTTATTACTGTACGAGCTCGGTAGTATATTGTGACGTCATTATTACGTCATAAAGTACCCTTCCTGTCATCTGATTTTTCGCATCCTACCCTATTTTTGATCGTAACACATTGGCAAAGCTTTGGTGAAAAAAATGGTGCTTTTAAATACCATGTAACAATCCTTAGCATTTTTGTTACTAATGTAGCTCGCTATAAGATGCCTCACTTTTCCGCTTATCTTTGGAACAAGTTTAAACATATTTATGATACTAATAATCAATTACAAAAACTCTTTTGGCATAGAATTTGAACTTTTCTCTCGAATTTAAAAACAACATCTCACAATACCACATACTGTTTGCATGTTAAAACAAAGTGTCAATGTGACTACCCAAAATCCATGATTTTAGCCTAAAAAACATGTCTTTTGACCAAAAAAGTTTTTTTTGACCCACAAAATCACCATTTACTATATACCATCCCCATGACATTCCACTCAAATGAAAGAGCTTGCTGTCCCCTTTAATTTGATACCACATTTGTTGTTGTAATTCTTGTAGTTCTGAAGATTATTATCAATTTATATTTTTTTTAATGTAATAATTAGCTGATGACGTCATAATGACGTCATACATGCCCTTCCCATCATCCAATTTTTTGCGTCCGTCTTTTTTCGAATAGGTATACCATGGAGATGCTTTGGTGAAAAAAATTGTGCTTTTGTCCACTGTGTCACGATTTTTTCACTAATGTACCTCACTATGCTTGATGCGATGGGATGAAGTTAAGACTTGCGGCATAGCCACAATATAAGTATTGTGCAAATTGTGATAAAAGCATGAAACTTCGCATGTTGGTTCTTCATGCCAATGGATATGGAGGCATTTCATATTTGACCTCTGGTGACCTTTAGAGGTCAATGAACTTTGCATACACTATTCATAACTTTTGTTCTTCAAAACTTCACTTTCCAATGACCCAAGTCTATGTCATAGGTCTTCATACAATGAAAATAATGATCAGAAGTGGAAAAATTTATATCTGACCTCTGGTGACCTTTAAGAGGTCAATGACCTTTGTATACCTGTCTATAGCTATTTGTAAGATTTTTTCTTTAAACCGCATTTCTTTTTTCACAATTCAAGACTAAATTAAAGGTGTTCATGCTGTAAAGAGAATTTTCATCTATAGGTCATTTCATACTCAACATCTGGTCACCTTACGAGAGGTCATGACCTTTGTAAAACAACAGCCTACATATGGATATTAATAAGATTTTCATAATTGTAAATGCCACTTGTTTTCATGACCCAAGTCTAAAGCTTGACTCTTGGTACCATGAAAATAATTTTCAGATGTGGGGACATCATATTTGATGTATAGATACCCTTGGAGAGGTCAACGAACTTTGTATGTCTTAGTTGCCGTTATTTATCATATTTATTTGCCCAAACGCCGTTTGTTTGGTGACCCAATCGCCAATAGTGTAAAGAACGGTATTGCACCTATTAGTTTACAGTCATGTTATAAATTCAGACCCCACAAACAATTTTGAGGTGACCTCTGACCTCATTTCTTCTTGTTTTATTGGCAGACGCAATATGATGGAGATTGGAGTAGAAATCTGTGGGTCTGTTTTGTAATGGAAAATGTACCTATGTCAAGCAATATTAACTCTTGTGTACTTATTACACCCTGCTGTATCCACTTGGACTTGGATAACCACGTTTTTAACCTTTTTACCAAGACCAATGGTCACTGTAAGAGAGTGATGCTTGTGTGATGTGTCGCTTATATTCTTTCACATTTGCATCTGCCCTTAAAAATAAGAAAATTGAGATTGGAGGTCATGCAAAAAAATTCTTTGGGGTCTGACTTCATGAAACGTTGTAGAAAAATTATCAAAATACACTCCTTTTGCTCTATTTAGACTTCAGTCATGAAAAATGGCATTTGGAAGATTCAACATGATAAATAATGGCAGTCAGAGTACACAAATTTCATTGACCTCGCAAAGGTGATCAGAGGTCAAATATGAAATGTCTACATATCTGAAAATTCATATCATGGCAAGAATACCCCAAATTTAGATATGGGTAATAAAAAAGAAGTGTTTTGAATATTTAATCCTCTTAATATCTATAAATAGGGTACGCAAAGTTCATTGACCCCTTGAAGGCCATCAGAGGTCAGATATGAGATTCCCTCTATATGAAATTCTGTTCATAGCATAAACCACTTAACATTATGACTTGGGGCTTGAAAAAAAAGGGGGTTTAAAGGGCATATCGTATAAATAACTATAAAATAGAGTTAGTGCAGTTAATACAAAGGTCATTGACCTCTGGAAGGTCATCAAAGGTCAATTGTCAATTTGTTTCGTATTTGCTTGTTATTTACATTGTATAAAGATTATACAAAGACTAAGGTCATAGGAATGTGATATTTTCAAGAACAATAGCTATAAATAGAGTATTCAAAAGTCATTGACCTCTCAAAGGTCACCAGGGGTCAGATATGAAATGCCTCCATATCTGAAAATTTTGCCATGGCATGAAGAACCAACATGCAAATATATTCTTACCAGTAAAGTTTTGACAATTTTTGCTTTCTCCAACTTTGCAGCAAGATGAAGTGCGGATAGACCTTGCACATTTTGAATGTTGATGATGGAAGAATCCTTGTCCATAAGCAGAAGCAGAATTTCTAACCCTCTTCGTTCATTGATGCATTCAACTGCCCGATGCATGGCTGAACAACCATCCCGTATGTTTATCGCACATAGATGATTTACATGGGTACCTGCACCAATGGAATGAGTAACATTTTCAAATGTTTAAGGTTATATTTTTCACAAGGGACATTCTTTGGAAATACCAATTTGGAACCCAAAGAAAATATTTCCTCTTTTTTACCAAGATATATACCCCCAAAATAGGACAAATTTTCAACTTGGTTTGTCTCTCAGACCAGCCCTATAATTATAAATATTTATTAAACTTTATTGAAAAGCATGTATTCCCCAGGCTAAAACGGTCCCCTACATTCCCCAAAATAGACAGTCATTACAGTTTGTTTATTCTTAAGAGGTAAAAATATGTGAAATTTAAGGATTCTCACAATCATCAGGCCAACTCTCGGAACCCTATGAGTGGAGAACTATGAATTTGAGTAGGTCATGATCAGTAACAGTGGTGTATCCGGGGGGACCTTGCTCCCCCCCCCCCCCCCGGCGTATTTTTGAAAGATGTTTTTTTTCAGTAACTATTTCAATAAATTGTTAGAGAGTTCTGACATGAAAAAAAAAAAAAAAACAAGCTCCAAAACCATTACAATGCGCTGTGAAAATTGGCATATATTTTCATATATTTTCCAGTATGCATAATAATGGTCAGTTTTGAAGAGCGCCCCCATTTGGAAGATGGATAACTGCCCCCCCCCCTGCTTTTGGATTTTACAGACTACAGAGGCCAAGTGTCCTTAGAAAAACAAAATGTCTACATATCGGCACAGATGTGTGAGTGTGGTTGCCCCCCCCCCCCCCACCATCCCCCGACAATAGCGCTCTCATGTGTTCTACCCATAGTGCACCGCAGCATGTATGGCTTGTAAGCGTCCTCTTTTCTCGAGTGCTAAGGTAGAGCACTGAAACATCGAGAATAGTAGGGTAGGAGGGAGGGATGCTCTGCAGGTAAGTATTCGTTCGTAGAGCCCATCCACACTTCTGTTGGGTGGGGGGGGGGGGGGAGTTCTACGTCACTATACTTACCTGTAGAGCCATTTTCTTGTACATAGACTAGCACTGTGGTATAGGTGGTGGGTCATGGAAGATGCTATTGTATACTCACAGGGGCTTATGTAGAAGTTGGTAGACATCTATCGCGAGCGACAATGTCACAATTAGACAGGTCAATCAAGACGTCTTCCTCTCCTCATCTTGTTGTCAGTTCGTTGGTGGTCGTGTCTCATCCCGTCATGCGGCAAAGACCTCCAGCCAGATCGATTGCTAGCCAACCGTGGCCATGACCTGGTGGGAATTTGGAAGTCTACCAAGTCTCTTCAGGACATTCTTAAATCGCAATCTGGGATGTCCAACTGGTCGGTCTCCTTGTTCTAGGGCTCTATAGAGTATGGAGCGGGGGAGTCCTTGTGGTTCCATACGGGTCACATGACCAGCCCAGCGGAGACGGATGAACTTGAGCCTTGATGATAGTGGCTGACACTTGGTTATCTTGGCTGATGGATGGTCTAAGCCAGGACTGTTTAAATAAAGCACCTTGGATGGTCTTATCATTGATCAAGGGCTTCTCTCGTCCAGAATCCGCCTGAGGCAGAGGAAAGGCAGTGCCAATATGTCTGAGGTAGATCCTGGGTGTGGGGGCTGCCATAGGAGTCAGCAGTGCTGAGTTCAAATACCTGGTGGGACCCCAGCTCCATTTTTGATGGATCATGGCCATTGACTCTCACAGTGAGAGTTCATCCGTCCTTAAAATCAGGTTTTGTTTTTAGTCCTGACAGGGAGTCCATCCACCCACCTTACCACAGGGGTATCCCCTGGGTGTGGGTGCCGGTTGAGTCGCCGACAACCCCACCATGCAACAGGTAGTACTGGGATACATGGTACCAGTAGCAGATCTTTTTTTGATCTGACCCGACTGCACTCACAGGTGCTCATGACATGAGACGTAACCCCGGATGGGCCCCGCTGCTGCACATGTGGGTGGACAGTCAACCCACAGTCAACTCACTAACTGACAAATATATTCCATCTAGACTTACCGCATCAAGATTCAACCTGCCCTGGTTTTCTCCTGCACTTCATTGTGAAAACAAAAAGCTCCAGAAACTGTACAACTGACAACATAAAACACAGAGTACCAGTGACATCCATCTCTTCAAGAAGGCTCGTAAAATCTACAAGAAAATCTCAACAAAGCACACCAGCAGTACATAAGTAGTATGCTTGATGATGATCTACAACATAACCAGAAGAAATTCTGGAAATATGTGAAATCTAAGTGAACAGACAACATGGGTGTTCACCCTCTTAAAGATCACAAGGCCAAAGCAAATGTTTTAAACTCCTTCTTTAAGTCGGTATTCACACAGGAAACCACTACGAATATCCCAAACCTGCAACAAGCCTATCCTGATATTGACCCACTAGATCAATTCAACGGGCATCTTGAAACTTCTCTATGACATCAATCCATCGAAAGCATCAGCAGGGCCAGACAACATACCAAACCGCATACAGTAGATTCCCGTTATAGCGCTCTCAAAGGGACCGAACTGAACCGAGCGTTATAACCGCACAGCGCTGTAACCGACGTACATGTACATGTACAAATACATGTACACATGTACATGTACTGTATAAAATACTGTAACGTGCGTAGCCAATCGGTTTCCCTAGTCCTGCCAGGTCTAATGACGTCAGCACCTGCGGTTGAATGCCACAGCTCCGGGATGCTTCTTGTTGAGCCCTTCTCTGCCTCAGTGGTAGTGTGGATTACTTGCGGTTTGATTTGGGGGCGGGGTGACCTAGTGGATTTGGTGGATCACTGTGGATAGGGTGGATCACTGTGGAAAGGGGGTGGATTCGGGTGGATTTGGGTGGATCACGGGTGGATTTAATGTGGATCACTGTGGACCACACCCTTTAACCAAGTATAATTAATTAGACAATCAACAATAAATTAGGCACAGGAGATTGGTTTGACTTCTTCGGCCCCACCTGATCAAGAAGTGAGGTTTATTTCATCAGCTCTGCCTTTTATAGGCCAACATCCCTATAATCTTGTACACGTGTGCTTTACTCAATACAAAAGGACTTGACCAATCAGATTTCAGTAGGTGACTAAAGACACACCCACTTAACAGTGCTATTTGGCTCATACAGTTGAGATAAGGGAGACTGATATAAAACGCGTAGTTCGTGATTTGTCACATGACCCTCCCCCAGACTTTTCAGTCCCTGAAATTGTTAATTTTACAATGTTATCCACTTTGCTTCAAATGATTACTAAAAACAGAAAGTGTTCCTATTCCAGTTACAGTTACATCCTTTGTTTTGTAAGCCAAACAATCGCTTCAGCGGATTCAGTGGATTATTAAAATTGTACATGTATGCCGTCATAACTTTGAGTATAAACTTGGTTACTAAACACATCGAACAAGTTACAACTTTAAAATTTAAACTCGGTTACACTAAATTTTAACGTTAAACTTATAAAGTTTGAACAATTCTTTCTCTTTTTCCAATATGTTCTTACATCAATAAATACGAAAACATAGATCATGGCCTTTTGATGCTTAAATTTCAACAAATCTTTGAATATCACTTTCTTTCTTTTCTTTGTTTTCGACTACAAAAATTCTATGGTCAGCTTTAACAAAAACTTTCTCAAGGGTAAACTTTCCAACTTAAATAACTAGGGTTTAACTACATGTCCACAACGGTCTTGGACTGTTTTTGGTGGAAGAGGATGCCACCGCGGAATACCTTGATGGTGGTAGTTGCCTCGATCCGCTCCCCCTCCTCCGGTTCCTCACTCTCAGTCGACGAGCTGATTCTTGTGCTCTCTGTTTGCAATTGCCGCAGCAACTTTAATGATTTCCCCCCTGTCTTGGGATGACCACCGGATGTTGCGGTCGATGGGGGTGTGCAAGGGGGTGGAAGGAGCTCCAGGGTGGGTTCCGGTGGTAGAGGGAGGTCGCTGGGTTCGGTGGGGGGAGCAGCTGGCGTGGAGACTGGATATGGATGAGGGAGGGGCCTGCGGCCGGTGTCGTGATGTTCTTCATGACGGTGAAGGCTGGCGTTCCGGGTGAATGCTTCGCCGCAGGTTTTACAGGTGAATCCTGAGGAACCGTCGCCCCGATGATGGGCCTCCTTTGCATGCCTTACCAGGTTGCCTTTCAGGGAGAACTCTTTTCCGCAGTCGGGAACCGGGCAGGTGTGCTTTTGCGTCTGTCCACTGCTGGCGGCTGACGGTTGCTCCTTGGTCCGCTGGTGCTGGTGCTGATGTTGGGGCCGGTCTTGGCTGGTGGTAGCACTTGGGCGGCGGTCGTTCTGCTCCTTTGTTTGTTTCGTGTGCTTGTAGTGTCCGCTGTTATCCGGCCTCTTTCTCTTATCGCCACGGTCGGTGTGCTTTTTCGATGACCTGCCCTGGTCACGATGACGGTCGCTCCCCTCCTTCGGCATGGTGATGTAAGGAATGTATGAGTATGACTACCGAAATGTCAAAGTCCGATTAATCCGCTGAGACTTAATCCACAGGTGGATCACAGAAGGTGGCTGAGTGGATAAGTGGATGAGTGGATGACGCTGGCTTTGGAGAAGACTCAAAACGATGATATTACCGAACGATGATCAAAAACTAACTGGTGCGATATGTTCAGCGTAACTATGCCAGCGCGTACGCATCATGCTCGCACAAGGTAGTGTAGATAGATACTTCGCACGATTACCATTACACAATACGTGCCAAGGGTTGGGGGCTAGACGAAATGTGGATACTGGCATTGTTTCGCCCACTGAGGGCGCCCGTGATGATTAATGGCTGCATCTCACGGCCGTAAACCTCGTAGTCTTGTAATCCAGCCGGTTGTCTACGTCGCCGCTGCGGATATCGGCGCTGTGATTCCTCGAAACTTGGAGGATTTTCAGGCTCCCCTTCCGTCGTCACCTTGGCACTGTCGGCTGCTTTTACTGGGGTTGATTCTGGCTGATTGACCGGAGTACCGGTAGCAAGTGCTGGGGAATCACCATCCGGGGGTTTATTATTTGCGCTTTCTGTGGG